CAGCCACTCCTCGGAAGGAAGGTTGGGCATTCCTACTTCTGTAGTGATACTGCCTCAGAAACCCAAGGAGGGGTCGCTATGAGTCGGGGCTGACTCGATGGCAAATAATAATAACAACAACATACTATCTTTAGATTTTGTTAAGAAATTGTTTAAAATTAAGAAATTCTTCTGTTAAAACTGACACAGAGTGACTCACATTTTACTATACTCCAAGAATTTTTAATGTAGGAATCATGAATTGTTAACCTTTGAATACAATGTACCACATGACATAGCTGCTGAATAATTATGTTTGGATGATCACATGAATACATTAATAAATCATACTCAGTAGCTAATTCCTTAGTTACCTTTAAAAACTGCATTATTTTCCATACCATACTAAAAGTATGGAGTTCTTGTGGCATAGTGGATAAGGCATCTGTTAACCAGAAGGTAAGCAGTTCAAACTCAGCAACTGCCTTGTGGAAGGAAGATGGGGCAATCTACTTCTGTAAAGATTTATAGCCTTGGAAATCCAATGGGGGTCACTATGAGTTGGAATTGACTCGATGGCAGTCAGTTTCGACTGTATCTACTTACGTACAGTTTAAGGCACTTAGACATGCACTATCTTTTTAAACACTTACAATGCTTACTTCAGATAGGTAGGTCAGATATTCTGGTTCACATTTTCCTATTTTCCATTGTTACTCAAAACAAAAATAATCCACTTATTACAAACAAGTGCTAGCATACTTATTTTGTAACTTTGATCTAATTTAAAATGGAGTATAGTGGTTTATTTTGGAACAAAGCTTATTAATCACTCCCAAATTTATCAGTTTTCACAAGATGATTGTTTAAAATTATGTATATACAATGAAGGATGATGTACTAGATAGTTCTCAGGGGGCATAAAATAGTTAAATTCAGCTATTAGAGGCACTGGGAAAATCTAGCTAGCTAAAGGAATTTCAGTAAGCTAAATTCCACAAATAAAAGGGATAAATGAATCATATCAGGGAGCATACTAAAAATTACCAAAAATGTTCACTGTCTTCTTTCAGATCAAACAATACTTTTTGATGATATTTCAAGTTACTTCATATTTAAACTATGACTAATTACAATGCCAATGATTCCAAAACCAACAATGATCTCACTTTTAAAACATTCTTGTCAGGATAATATTTTCTTTCTAAAACATTACACTCATTCTTTTTAGCCAACCCTAATATTGAGCTCCCAAAAATTTAATCAGCTACATTTTTTTTCTATCAAATAGGCCAATTGTTATAAAAATTTTTTGGGATCCAAAAATGTTATGAATAAATAAATGACTACTTTAAATCCTAGCCTGAAAAAAAAGTCCATTTTTCCCCCAGCTCATAAAGAGCAGCTGTATTTGGTCACATGCCATATTATTAGGGAAGAAGCATATTGCCCAACTTTGATCTTTTATGCTCTGTATTAGAAATCTTCTAATTAAAGTAGACCACTATTAAAGAAACAAAACTGATCCCCTTATTCTAATTCTTTATGCTTATTCTCGAATTCCTTTCATGGTGCTGAAGTATTCAGTTAAGGAAGTATCAGGTAAGAAGAGTCCTAGGTTATAAGTTTAACCCTGTATAGTCTGGATTCACACCAGAAGGTCAACAAAATGCTAGTATCAGGAGAACATAACTTGGTGAAATGTTGTAAAATGTTTAACTATTCTCTTTTGACCAAATCTCAATAGTGTAAAATAAGCGAATGGAATGCAGGCTTTATAGGAAATATTCATTAAAAAAAATAATAATAATGTTTGGATTCAGGGAAAAATCAAGTAGAACAGGAAATCTAACTAGGAGAATGACTATTTCAAGAAAAATATGCCAGTGCCTAAAGCATGTGACTGCTAACTGGAAGGATGGCAGTTCAAACCCACCAACCACTCCTCAGAAGAAAGGTTGGGCAATCTACTTCCATAGTGTTATCTCCTTGGAAACCCAAAGAGGGGTTGCTATGAGTCAGATCTGACTCAAGGGCAGGGAGTTTTGAGTTTAGGTGGCACTATAAATAATGATGTGAAATTTAAAAAAAAAAAACTGTCTGCATATTATAATCCTACATCAACTTTCTAAACTGCCATGCTTCAGTATAAGTTAAAAAAAAAAAAAGTTCAGAAAAAGCACTGGCCTGAGAATAGTAAAAATATTAACAACAGTTAAAAAAAAAAAAAAAAAAAAAACCACACCTAAACTCAATGCCATTGAGTCGATTCTGACTCATAGTGACCCCCATCGGGTTTCTGAGGCTATAAATCTTTACAGAAGTAGATCACCCCTTCTTCATTCTGTGGAGCAGCTGGTCGATTTGAACCACTGACTTTCTGGTTAGCAGCCAAATGCCTGATCCACTAAAGGTACTAAAACCTTACTCCACGTTCCTAAATTATCTTATTGAATCTCATAATAGTCTTTTATTACCATCCCCATTTCACAGAGAGAACTACAAAACCCAGAGAGTAAATCAATATGCCCTAGGTCACACAAGTAATAAATGACTAAGTCAATTGTTTCTTATCTTACTGACTTATCCTTGGACAAGTTACATTATTCCCTGGGTCTTAAATTTCTTGTATGAAAGGTAAGCATGCTTAGACTCATCTTTTTTTTTTTTTTTTTTTTTTCTTTTTTTGGAAAGCTCTTCAGAGACGTTTCTAGGGTTTTATAAATTAAGTATTCACTGCCAAACAATGAAGTTTTAAACTAGTTGAGAAGTCCAGTCATTGCTTTTACATGCTTTAAAGATTTCTGTAAGATTTTTTATTTTTCTTTTAATATGGAATTTGAAGCTTTAAAGTTTTAAAATTACTCAAACTGGGTGATTTTCTCTAAGGTCTCTTTCAGTTCTAAAATCTTTGCTTGTATCTGGAAATATTATTGTTTATCTAATTGTTAAAAGGGAGCTCTGGTAGCATAGTGCCTAAAGCATTTGACTGCTAACCAGAAGGCTGGCAGTTCAAACCCACCAGCCACTCCTCGGAAGGAAGGTTGGGCAATCTACTTCCATAGTGATACTGCCTCAGAAACCCAAGGAGGGGTCGCTAAGAGTTGGGTCCAACTTGATGGCACATAACAACAACAACAACAACAACAATTGTTAAAAGGAAATAGTACCATTATGCTATAGTTGAATTAAAGAACCTTCTAGCAAATCCTTGGCATAATCTTAATCTAGAAAATTTCTTAGGATTGTCTTAGTTCTAAAGGAAGAAAATTGAAGGGACATCCACTTCCATCTTTGTTTAAAGATATTTATACTAGGAAAGACTTGAATCCTATGACTATTTTTTAGACTGTAAATTGGAATCATTAGTGGATCATGAAACTAATACAACAATTTTTAAAAGATTGAGAACAACTGGAATAAAAAAAAAGAATCTAATAACTAGATCAATCATGGGAGAATAGAAGGGCTGTGTACGGATAGGGAGACAGCTCAGGGGGCAGGAGTGCATGGGAGGGAAGGACACAGGGAAGAGGTAACTTAACTCTGGGGAGGAGGTGGGAAGAGAGCTGTTGCATTGTGGGAAATGGCAGTCAATGTCATGAGAAAAAGTGTATGTGAACTGCTGTATGGAAAATGAATTTGTTCTGTAAACTTTCACCCAAATCACAATAAAATTTTTTTTACTAAAAGGATGATAGGGAACTTTTTAATGATGAATCTGGCTGGTGACACCTAACCCCACTGAAGGAGCTCTGGTGGCGTAGTGCCTAAGGCATTTGGCTGCTAACCAGAAGGCTGGTGGTTCAAACCCACCAGCCGCTTCTCAGAAGGAAGGTTGGGCAATGTACTTCTGTAATGATACTGCCTTGGAAACCAAAGGAGGGGTCACTGTGAGTTGGATCCAACTTGACGGCAATGAGTTTGGTTTTCAGTTTGTTAAAAGTAAGAGAAGGCCTCCTAATGAGATATTGCAGGAAAAGCAAAGATGTCACTTTGAGGATTAAGGTACACCTGATCAAGCCATGGTATTTTCAATCACTTCATATGCATGCAAAAATGGACAATGAATAAGGAAGACCAAAGAATTGATGCCTTTGAATAATGATGGTGGCAAAGAATATCAAATATACCATCGACTGTCAGAAGAACATACACATCTGTCTTGGAAGAAGTACAGCCAGAATGCTCCTTAAAAGTGAGGGTGGCACTACTTCATCTCATGTACTTTGGTCATGTTATCAGAGGGACCAATCCTTGGAGAAGGACATCATATGTGGTAAAGCAGAGGGTCAGCGACAAAGAAGACCCTTCATGAGATGGGGTGACAAAGTGGTGGCAACATCATGGGTTCAAACATCATAACAATTGTGAGTATGGCCCAGGACCAGGCAGTGTTTCCTTCTGTTGTACACAGGGCCACCATGAGTCAAAATCCACTCAACATGACCTAACAATAACCGTTACTCCAAAAGGAAACTGAATCTCATCTGTTCTCTAGATAGAACTACCAATTGTAGGAAACACACAGGATAAAAAAAAAGATGTTAGAAAGCACCACAAAGATGTACTCAGCTAAATTTAAAATATAGGAAATTTCTACAAGACCTGGTTTCTTCAATAAATAATGGCAAAAACACAGACAAGGAAACATTAAAGACTCAAAGATTAAAATATTCTCCTAAATGCAACATATAGACTTTATTTGAATTCTGATTTGAACATATAAACTGCAAAAGGACGTTTTCAGAATTGGGGCAATTTGAATACAAACTGGATGTTAGATGATAGTAAGGACTATTTTTTATTTTGTTAGGTGTGATGAAGATAACATGGTTTTATTTAAAAACTAAAATGTTTTTAAAAACTTTTTAAGAATAAAGTAGATAAACAAGAAGAAATCCAATTAGTAGAATAAATGTAACAAATATTCTACACATAATACTTTAAAATACCATAAGCAAATAATCATACTATGTTACAATAAATATTTTATGAGAAACTTACAAAATAGCTGAACTGAAGAACAAGCTTGTTTCATGATCATCTTCTTGAAGCACTGAATTTATTTTCTTTCCAGCAGCTTTACTTATAGATGTCCTAAGTTTCTTAGCCAGCTTTTTCGGTGTGTTGGTTATAGAAGATTCTTCTGTACAGCAACTATACACTTCTACCTTTATTTGAAAGTCTGGCCCTGCTTCATTACTAAAAACAAGGGCATTCATAATGTTAGAAGTTTAACTAAGTAGAAAAGAAAATTGCAGTATCCTTTGATCTTTCCATAACATTTAAAACCAGTTTTTGATATTTGTTGTTGTTATGTGCCCTCAAGTCAAATCCGAGTCATAGCAAAGCCTCCTTGGGTTTCTGAGGCGGTACCACTACGAAAGTACACTGCCCAACCTTCCTTCCGAGGAGTGGCTGGTGGGTTTGAACCACCAGCCTTCTGGTTAGCAGTCAAGTGCCTTAGGCACTACACTACCAGAGTTTTTGATGTAAGTTTATGTTAATATACATTGAGAAAGAATCTCCCTGTGTTATTTAATATCTAAACGGCCCGAGTCACTGCAACTTCCAGAGCTATCAACTTCTAAACTAGAGTACTCTTGACTCAATTTAAGCAACACATACAGGTATGTTAATTAAAGACAGCGAATAAAATGGCCTAGTCATCTTGTTGCCAATTCTATTTTTCTTTGTAGTTCCTTTAATATAGTAATTTTAAGTTATTTACATTGTATGTGTGATTTCCTGAAATGACTATTCTTTCAAAACAAAATCTGCTGGAAACTTACTTTTCATTTCTCCTTCAGAAAGACTCATTTATGGTCCACTCATAGCTGCCCACCAACACCCATCACACTTTGGTACCAAATAGCTATAAAGAACATTTCATTAGTTGGTTATATAGGGAAAAAACAATATAAGGGGATATATATTTCAAAGATGAACTCCTTGAGGGCAGGGGCTGTCTTGGTGATCCTGTATTCTTAACCTAGCTTTGTGCCAGCAGGATAGAAGGTACTCATTCCATACTTAGTAAATCAATATGTAAAAATTCTGCCATTTTTTGCAAATGCTAAGATTGACTTTGCCTTTTTCCAGACATAATGAACTACGTTTACAATAAAAGATTATGGTGGTGTCACCAACAATAAAATATAATTAAAACCACAAAAGAGATCCATCAAAACAGATGCTGCCTACAGACACAAGATCTATCAGCCTCAGAGATTTTAAAAATGCAGCATAGACTTTTTAAGATTTCAATGTACAATCTATACTTTGGATAAATCCAAGAAACAACTTCCAGATATTTTTACAGTTTATTATTTGGCAACTTCTAAACATACAGTATTCCTGGTAATGACTACCAAATGTCAATATTTAGAGGAAAACCAGGGATTCATAAATATTGAATACTTATTAAAAGAAACAATCACCATAACAAAAAGCACATTTTTAAACATTTGTCAGCAGTTATTTTTAAAACAATTTAAAATATTTACAGAATATTTAAAAAATTATAAATCATGTGTTGTCTTCGCAAGTAATCTGCATTGTTCCTTCCCTAAAAAAATACTCTGATCTTTGTCTTTGTGGTAAAGACAAACAATAGCAAAGTGAAATGAAGAAAAAAGCTCACTAACAGGAAGATTCTGGTGGAAAAAATTCACTAGTTATAGTTAATAATGAAAAATGTATTCAAGTAATTAAGGAAAATTCATGTTTTAGCTTCAATTATCTAAGCATTTGGGGATATTTTGGGGAGCCTAAACAAATTCCTTTGGTACAATACAGCTTGTGAGTAAGAAGGTCTACATTACTGTTAATAAGCCAGAACAATGCATTTTATTTTTCTGTGCTATACAATTACTATGGGACACTGGACAGAAGCCATAAAATATGGTTTGCAATAGTCTTTTTAATGCTTTACGAGTAGCAAAATTAGCACTGTCAAATCACAACTGTATAGCTCCATAGCTAAATATGGCAAAAACATATTTATTGATTTTATCTTAACAGTTCGGTAGCTATTTACATTTAGACAGGAAGATAGTGACTTTGAAACCCTGAATGATATACAAATCACAAACTGATTTTCAGCCAACAGAATCTTTGAAAAAGGGCAAGAAGAACTTATGTTAGTTAGAAATGATTTCTATGGCTATCTGAGGAGTTCTTTCTGGTTCTGTATTATGACCACAATAAAATAAGCCTGTAAAAGAGCAGAGGCAATAAAAACAGCCCTGAGGATCACCCAATTTTTTATTATTTTGGAGTATATGAAAGAAGTGCACCATAAGAAATAAGAAAGAACACACCAAAATTTTACTAAAGTGCTTCTCCTATGGTGCATATTTCATTCCTACCTTTTAAATGAAGTTGTTATACTACTTTGGTATTTCTGTAACTAAATCCCCTATATGAGATGAAAGAGCCTGGTTTATGTTCAAATTCACTTTATATTAAATAATGTTATAGTGAGGTTCCATTGTATTTATAGCTTAGGTAAGAATGAACAATAAATCTTCATAAAATTTATAAACATTTATCATATCAAATAAGTCAACTATTTACTACTCATTATAAGATTACCATTTTATTTTATACAGCAATATTTCCTTTAAATAATTTTCAAATATCACTTTAAATATTTAAGATCTTAATGCTTCAAAAAATAATCCAAATCCCAGTAATTATGCCTTCTTTTAAAAAAAGGTAGAATTTTAGATTACTTTCATTTTCTGAAGATTTCAAAAATACTTACAATATAGTTATATTTTCAAAGCATATATCTGTGATTGTTTTATCCACAATCACCATGTCAGTGTCAAAAACTTCAGCTCCCATTTTGAATAAACAAAAAATGGCATAGCGCTGTGATTCTAGAGGAAAAGAAAAAGTTTTTAAGCAAAGATCTATGTGATAAACCATGCCTACATTATGTTCAAATCTACTTGAACATGAAAAAAAAATTAGTTTAAATATTTGTTAACAGATTCTTGCTTTCACATATTGTAGCTTGCAACTCAATTTTTTATAGTGACTGCTCTGTCAATAAATAGGAATACTTCACTCCACTAGAACACAACAATTAAACTAGGGCATACCAAAAAATAAAGTTAAATATATAGTCTTCTCAGCAGCCTAAGGAATATACCAAACTTATATATATTATTCCTAGAAAAAATTTTAAGTTTTAATTAACAGCAAACATATTATTATAGATACATTATTACCTTTGTCGTTTTGGCTTCTAAGTTGATTTAAGAAAAATAGTTCTCTATTAGTAAGAGGTTAAGAGTAAGCAGGCAAACAACAGCAAAACAAGTTCCACCAAACTAAAACAAGAGGAAACCACAAAAAAACATAAAAAGGAGACATGGGAACATAAAAGACACAGCTGCTGGGCCCTTTAATATGGTGATGTTTTTAAAAAGTAATAGGTAATTAAAGGGCTAAATCCTCATTATTGAGAAAATGCAGCTCCAGAAAAAGTTACTCTCCATAATAAACAGAAAGATTTACTTTATTCCCACATGTATTCCTTTTTAAAGTAAATTATATTTCTTAATTGAATAACAAATATACTAAATTAATTTTGTACTCTTCATATAAAACTAATTATACTCAGTATGATTCAGTTTTTAAAGTGAGAAGAACAAAGCTATCACAATAGACAAAAAAGATAAAGGATTTTGCTGTCTTTTCTGCTTTGCTTCTAACATCTAGAAATAATGAGGTTAATTTCCATGACCTAAATAATACACGGATTTGTAAAGACTATAAAAGCCACAAAACACTGAAAGGAAAGAAAAATCTTTCCATCTTACACCCTGCTAAATAATCTGAAGTAACAAAGTAAGGCAGGAAAAGATCTCCAGATTCTGGTCAAATAAAAGAAATGCTGTCGTTCCCTTTACGCCTTAAATGCTCTTTTGTTCTATACTCCTACCACCACCCGTTACTTACTGTCCTTGTACACTTTCCTGTTAATAACTAAAGATACATTAAAACCAAATACACTCCCTTTGAGTCAATTCTGACTCATAGCCACTCTATGCACAAGGTAGAACTTCCACATAGGGTTTCTAAGACTGTAAATCTTTATGGAAGCAGACTGCCACATCCTTTTCCCTCAGAGTGCTGGTGGGTTTGAACACTTACCTTTCAGTTAGCAGCCAGACACTTAACCACTGCTCTACTAGGGCTACTAGGGCTTCAAAAGTATGCCAGATATGCATTATCTTAATTAGTATCAATTGACTACAACATATATTTACTGAAAATCAGAAAAACCAGTTCAGCAAGATTCTGCTTATTATTCTATCAAATGGCACCAATTTATTTCAGTGTGGAAACAGCCTTCTTATTATTCCCCTCAATAATCACAAATTAACTATATATAAAGAAAGCATTTCAATTGCAAATTAAAATCAAACATACGTTCTTTATTGCTGAAATGATCAGAGTCTTTCCACATTAATGGTATTCGGATATCTAAAGAGGGAAAAAGAAATAACAAGTATAATTTTCTGTAAGTTTCATTTTTTAACATGACATGAACCTATGGATTCCACTACGCATTCAATAATGGATTCTGATAAGATTAGGAATGTAAATCAGCTATATTTATTTAAAACTGACTGAAAAAAACTAAATTACCAACTATCAATCAAATAATTCCTTTATTAAGCTTTTACAATAACATTTTCACTTTGTGATCTACATTTTAAAAATATGTGAATATGGGCAACCCAGTTTGTTGAATTTCTATTTTTGGTAAGCAATAATAGCAACTGTAGTTAAAACACATTTTAAAGCCATGGAACAGCAGATGTAGAAATGACGTTAGAGTTTCTATCCAACATGCAAACTTCAAAGAAAACAAGTGACCTGTCTAAGATCATTGCTTTCTGGTAGAGACCAAATCTTGACAAACAGATCTAAGAGTTCTCTAGTAAGATTTGTTTACAAAAGAATTTGAAGATCTTTATATACTCATGTACACTCTGCAGTATTTTCCTTAACAAATAAAACTACAAAGAAGAATATACTATGTTTTTCAGGCCAAGAAATGGACATATGCTCTAAAGGTGATTCAAACATATTTTCTCTTATTCATACATTCTTTAAACACCAAAGTAATTGTGCTAATGGTCTTTATCCCAGACATTACTCTAGAGTTTTGACATATTTGGAATTTTAACTTCCCAATATTCCCCATTATCCTCTTTACCTTTTAAATTTTTATTGTGGTAAAACATACAAATAAAAAAAATCCCATTTTAGCCACTTTTAAATGTACAATTGAGTAACATTAATTACATTCACCATGTTGTGTAACCATCATTAACATCTATTTCTGAAAGTTTTTCATTGCCCCACAAAGAAACTTAGTCCCTCTTAAGTAATAACTCCTTCTGGCCCCTGGTAACCACTAAACTTTAGACTCCACTATTTGCCTCTTCTAGATATTTCATAGAAGTGCGATCTCAAAATATTTGTCCTTTTGTGTCTGACTTCATTCACTCAGCATGTTTTCATAATTCCTCTATTTTGTAGCATGTATCAGAATTTCATTTCTCCATATGGCTGAATGATATTTCATTTTATGTGTACACCACGTTTTATTCATTCTTTCGTGGGAAACTTGGGTTGTTGCCTTCTTTTGCTTATTGTGAATAATGCTTTACCTTTAATACAAGGTAACAGTAGTAATAATTTTCCGGTGACATTCCTTTGTTAGGAGCTCTGGTAGCATAGTGCCTAATGCAGTTGACTGCTAACCAGAAGGCTGGCGGTTCAAACCCACCAGCCATTCCTCAGAAGGAAGGTGGGGCAATCTACGGAAACCCAAGGAGGGGTCGCTATGAGTCGGGTTGGACTCCATGGCACATAACAACAACAACAACATTCCTTTGTTATTATGGATTGAATTGTGTCCCCAAAAAATATGTGCTGTGAATCCTAACCTCCAGGTCTATGGTTATAATACCAAGTGGGAATGGGTTGTCTTTGTTATGTTAATGAGGCAGATTAGTATAGGGTGTATTCTGAGTCAATTTCTTTTGAGATACACAGAGATTAAAAAAGCAAGCTAGGAAGCAGAGATGGGGGAGAGAGATGGCAAGACGAAGATCACCCATGAGCAGAAGCTCAAAGAGAAAAGGACCTTCCTCCAGAGCCAATAGAGACAAAAACTTCCCCTAGAGTTTTGGACTTACAGCCTCATAAACTGTGAGAAAGCAAATTTCTGTGTATTAAAGCAATCCACTTGTAGTATTTCTATTATAGAAGCATTAGGTAACAAAGCCATTATGTATTTTCAAAGTTAGAGGATCAAGGTTCTTCCAAATAGATTAAGATGTACGAATCTAAGTATAACACAAAATTGCACAGTAAAGCAAGTTCAATGGACAGGTGAAACTATGTTTTAATTGCCTGAGGAGTACATATCAGCAATGAAAATCCTGTGGATAACAATGGACAAATCTGTAAACCATCATGGGCATGATGCAGAACAGGGCAGGGTTTCATTCATTGCATATCGGGTTACCATGAATCAGGGATTGACTCAATAGCAGCCAACAACAACTTAAATTATAAAAAGCTTGAACCTTCTCTTCAATGTATTTATGGGAAACTTCTCTTTTTAAAACAATTTCCTATTACCACTTAAGAAGTTTATATAAAACTTTTCCGTGCCTATTAATTATGCACATTCAATTAATTACAAATCATCATGAAATCAAGCTGTTTGGCTAGATTTATGTGCTTCACTTTTAGATCACATGACATTTTGTCAACTCTATTTCTTCCCCAGAATTCTGTTTTTAAGGCTCTTAATGCCCCCAGGAGACAGGAAGCAGTGGCAGATAGGGCCAGCGGCCGGAAAAGGTACAGGGAAGCCCAGGAATGGAGTGGAGCAGTTGGAACAGCTGAGGGAGATGAACTTGTCTATCAGTTTGTCATACTGTGGTGGCTTGCACGTTGCTGTGAGTCTAGAGGCTGTGCCAGCAGGGGTCCATGGTAGACTGGTTTTGGTAGAGCTTCCAGATTGCGACAGACTTGGAAGATGGGAGAGGCCATCCACTTCCCAAAGAATTGGCCAGTGAAAACTTTATGAATAGAAGTGAAACACTGTCTGATATATTACTGGAAAATTTTATGATTATAGTGCTAGAAGATGAGCTCCTAAGGTTGGAAGGCACTCAAAATATGACTGGGAAAGAGCTGCCTCATCAAAGTAGAGCCTACTTTAATGATATGGATAGAGTAGAGCTTTTGGGACCTCCATTTGCTGGATGGCATGACTCAATATGAGAAGAAACAGCTGAAAACATCCATTAAAAATAGGAACATGGAATGTCCGAAGTACGAATCTAGGAAACTTGGAAGTTTTCAAAAATGAAATGGAATGCATAAAGATTGATATCTTAGGCATTAGTGAGCTGAAATGGACCAGTTTTGGCCATTCTGAATCAGATAACCATATGATCTACTATGCTGGGAATGACAAATTGAAGAGGAATGGCGTGGCATTCATCGTCACAAAGAATGTTTCAAGAGCTACCTTGAAGTACAATGCTATCAGTGATAAAGTAATAGTCATTTGCCTACATGGAAAGCCAGTTAATATTACTATTACTCAAATTTACACACCAACCACCAAAGCCAAAGATGAAGAAATTGAAGATTTTTACCAACTTCTGCAGTCTGAAATGACCAAACATGCAATCAAGATGTGCTGATTATCACTGGTGATTGGAATGCAAAAGCTGGAAATAAAGAAGAATCACCAGTAGTTGGAAAATTTGGCCTTGGAGATAGAAATGATGCTGGAGATCGCATGATAGAATTTTGCAAGACTAATGATTTATTCATTGCAAATACCATTTTTTCAACACCACAATGGTGGCTATATACGTGGACTTTGCCAGAGGGAGTACACATGAATCAGATTCACTATATTTGTGGCAAGAGGCAATGGAGAAGCTTAATATCTTCACCCAAAACAAGGCCAGGAGCTGACTGTGGAACCTACCATCAACTGCTCATATGCAAGTTCAGGTTGAAGTGGAACATAATTAAAATAAGTCCACAACAACCAAAATATGACCTTGATAATAGCCCTCCCGAATTTGGAGACCACTTGAAGAATAAATTTGATGCATTGAACACCAATGACTTAAAATCAGAGGAATTGTGGGATGACATCAAGAACATCACCCATGAAGAAAGCAAAAGGTCATTAAAAAGACAGGAAAGGAAGAAAAGGCCAAAATGGATGTCAGAATAGTCTCTGAAACTTGCACTTGAAAGTAGAGTAGCTAATGGAAGAAATGACAAGATAAAAGAGCTAAACAGAAGATTTCAAAGAGCAGCTCAAGCAGACAAAGCCAATTATTATAATGAAATGTGCAAAGACATGGAGTTGAAATGCCAAAAGGGAAGGACATGCTCGGCATTTCTCAAGCTGAAAAACTGAAGAAAAAAAATCTAAGCCTCAAGTCGCAATACTGAAAGATTCTATGGGCAATATATTGAATGATGCAGGAAACATCAAAAGAAGATGGAAAGAATACACAGAACCACTGTACCAAAAAGAATTGGTTGATGTTCATCCATTTCAGGAGGTGGCACATGATCAAGAACCAACAGTATTGAAGGAAGAAGTCGAAGCTGCACTGAGGAAAGTGGTAAAAAATAAGGCTCCAGGAATTGACAGGATACCCATTGAGATGTTTCAACAAACGGATGCCACACTGGAGGCACTCACTCAGCTATGCCAAGAGATCTGGAAGACAACTACCTGGCCAACTGACTGGAAAAGATGCGTATTTGTACCCATTTCAAAGAAAGGTGATCCCACAGAATGTGGATATTATCAAACGATATCATTAATATTGCACACAAGTAAAATCTTACTGAAGATAATTAAAAAATGGTTACAGCAGTATATTGACAGAGAACTTCCAGAAATGCAAGCTGGATTCAAAAGAGCATGTGGAATGAGGGATCTCATTGCTGATGTCAGATGGATCTTGGCTCAAGGCAAAGAATACCAGAAAGATGTTTACTTGTATTTTATTGATTATGCAAAAGCATCCAATTGTGTGGATCACAGCAAATTATGCATAACATTGAGAAGAATGGGAATTCCAGAACATTTAATTGTGCTCATGAGAAACCTGTACATACACCAGGAGGCTGTCATTCAAACAGAACAAGGGGACACTGCATGGTTTAAAATCAAGAAGGGAGTGTGATAGGATTGTATCCTTTCACCATACTTATTCAATCTGTGTGCAGAACAAATAATCCGAGAAGCTGGACTGTATGAAGAAGAACATGGCAACCTGTGTTACGCAGATAACACAACTTTGCTCACTGAAAGTGAGTATGACTTAAAATACTTACTGATGAAGATTGAAGACTACAGTCTGTAGTATGGATTACACCTCAATATAAAGAAAATAAAAATCTTCACAATGGGACCAATAAGCATGGTAAATTGAGAAAAGATTGAAGTTGTGAGGGAGTTCATGTTACTTGGTTCTACAATTGACACCAATGGAAGCAGAAGTCAAGATATCAGACGTCATATAGCATTGGGCAGATCTGCTGAAAAGGACCTCTTTCAAGTACTGACGGGCAAAGATATTTCCTTGAAGACTAAGGCACTCTTGAAACGGGCCATGGTATTTTCAATTGCCTCATATGCATGTGAGAGTTGGATAATGAAAAGGGAAGACCGAAGAAGAGCTGATGCTTCTGAGTTGTAGTACTGGCGAAGAATGCTCAAAGTACCATGGACTGCTAAAAGAACTAACAAATCTGTCCTGGAAGATGTGGACCCAGAATGCCCCTTGGAGGCAAGAATGGCCATACTTCGTCCCACCTATTTTGGTCATGTTGCCAGCAGGGACCATTCCCCGGAGAAGGATATCATGCTTGGTAAAGTGGAGGGACTATGAAAAAGGGGAAGGCCCTCAATGAGATGGATTGACACAGTGGCTGCAACGTATAGCAAAGAATGTGGGGCTGGCACAGGACCAGGCAGTGTTTCAGTCTGCTGTACGTGAGGTCACTATGAGTCAGAAATGACTCGACAGCACCTAACAACAACAACACCTATCTCTAATTTTCTTTTTAGAAAAGCTTTATTTGTTCCCTACCTAACAGCATCTGTATTTACCATTCTTGATAAATATACTTAGTGGGCTTTCCCCAAGTCCAAAGTAAGCATTTCACATATAGCTCATTCAATAATAATTTAAAAAATATATTTACCAATTTAATATCTAGTTGACTAAATTGTTTAGAAGTCCATTTCTTTATTAACAAAAGAATGCTAATACATTTACTGCTCAGCTTCATGAGTCTATTCATATACATGAACCATTTTTCTACTCAATGTTCTTTTTTAACTGATTTGTAGGAGCTTTTCCTTTAGTAGAGATATTCTTGCTTTGTCATACTGCTTATTAATTCCCAGTTGTTGATCTATTTTGTATTTTATCTACATTTTTTAAATGTTAAAATTTTTACATAATGAGAAAAACCAATCTTCTCATTAATTTTTTTTTCTATTATTTTACGTTTTAAAGCCCTCTTGGTGACATAGATAAGTCACTAATCATCTACATTTTTCCTAGACATTGTTTATGGTCTGTAATTCTAATTTAGATTAAATAATTTTAGATAAATTATTTAAATTTAGACTATTTAGTCTAATTTGTGGGTGAGGTGAGAATACAAATCTTATAAAAATAATTGTTCCAGAACCATTTATATATACAATAGGCCTTTCTTCCTCTGGTTTATTGTCCTACCTTTATTTCATGTAATGTTCTTAGTGTCTGTTTCTCAGCTATGTTTTATGTATCTAATTAAATCATTTATCAGTTACTCTGTTTACCATAATATTTAAACCATAGTTATCATATGTTTATAATATACTTTAATATGTATTAGAAAAGATATTTCCTTTCAGAAACATCTTATTCTCACTTGCTAAGTTCTTTATATGAATTTTGGGACTATTTTATCAAAATCCTTCTCTCCCAAATGTTTCGTTGAAAAAAAAAAATTGCCAACAAGTAGATTCTGACTCGCCAACAAGTAGATTCTGACTCAATTACTCAATATGGTTTTCTTGCTTGTAACCTTTATGGAAGTAGATTACCACATCTTTCTTGTGTGGCACCACTGGGTGAATTTGAACCACCAACCTTTAGGTTAAGGAGCGTTGGTAGCATAGTGCCTAAGGCACTTGACTGCTAACCAGAAGGCTGGCAGTTCAAACCCACCAGCCACTCCTTGGAAGGAAGCTGGGGCAATCTACTTCCATAGTGATACCATCTTGGAAACCCAAGGAGGGGTTGCTATGAGTCAGGTCCAACTCAACAGCACATAACAACCACCACCACCACCTTTAGGTTCGTAGACAAACACAAACCATTAAAGCTCCCAAGGACCTTATGTTTCATTAGAATTCTATTACATAAGTTAATTTTAGAACTGATATTTTTATAGTAATGTGTTTTGATAGACAATAACATGGTATTTATCCTCACACTTTTGTTAAGGTTATTCTTGAGTATTTAATGTTTTTGTTTTTTGGTGCTATTATAAATGGGGTACATTTTGCCATAATGTTTTCTACTTACAGTTGGTTTTGAGACGATAGTTTTTTGTATATTTATCTTGAATCCAGCCACTTTTACAAAATTCTTTATTATATTAATTCAAATAGTGTTTCAGTGAATTCTCTTAGCTTTTCTATGTCTACAATCTATTATTTTCAAATGGCACTTGATATCTATTTCTTCCCAGTGTCATCTTTAATTTTTACTAGAATTTTTTTTTAAAGTGCTAAATTATATTGATGAAAATGGACATAATTTTCTTCTTGATTTTAATTGGGATGGCCCCTCTCTTTTAAAAATAATTATAGTTGGCCAAGGTCCTGCTAAATGAAACCATTTCTCCTTGCCTGACCAAAGTTGCTGATTCATTTCAAACTGTTCTTGTTCATGATTGTTCTTACTCTGTTAGGGTGGCACTATTTACATTATCATTAAACGAATATGAACTCTGATATCTGTTGCTGCACACCCCCAGCTTTTGTTCAGTTTTGCCCTCTCCCACCTAGGCATGTCAGAGCCCCAAGAAGAAAAGGTGGACATTTCTTATCTATTTCTCAGGTGGTCAGATACTGTTCAGAGAGCAAAAGATGTGTAACCCACCAACTATGTTTCTCAATACAGCTTCAAATGGTAGAAGTTCTTTGCATATTCTTGTAAATGGTTGACTGTTTTACTGTATAGTATTTTTGCCTTTGTCTTTTTTATATCTTCATTGATATTTCATTGGTTAAACTGAGAGATCCATAATAGGATGCCTACCTAACCTGATGTTATCAAGACCTAAAATTCCCCCCTTTTCAAAAGTGAAAAGTGAGATACTAGGTGAATTAATTTGGCTTAGTGATAGAACTAGTAATAATCAGTGAATAAGCTGAGACATCAGTGCAATATAATTATTTGGTGTTCGGCAGAAATAACCAGAATAAATACCTTAATTATTATTTTTTATTTTTATAAACAAATGGCCAGAGTGGTAAAGCTACAAATGAAAAACCTGGGTATCCCAGGCTATCAATGGAATCTCATAAAAATTAGAGACCTTTGTTACAAATATTCATTTTGACCAAAACAAGGCATATTTCCATCCCAATGCCAAAAGAAAATGGATATATAATGCTGAATTTTTATTTTCCTTGTTTTTGCTTTTACCAATAGATAGACAAGATACAATTAAGGCTAGAAAACACGAAAAGATTATTACACATGTAATTTCCGAGACTTTCAGATCCTTAATTTGCATTATCTTCTAGAAAGAAGGAACACATACAGAAATAAGTTCAATTTTCACACTTTAAGAATTTCTGTTCATGAAAATATTTTATTTAAAATGGGGGAAAATAAAATTTTATTTCAAAAGTTTTCACTTATGGACCCTTCTAAAAGTACAGTTAATCACAACATCATGAATTTCTATAGTCAATAAACTCTTTAATACGAATGACAATATATTTTGACTCTATCATGTTATTTGAATCTTCAAAGCAATTTAACAACTCATTTGTGTACTCTATGGTACCACATTAGAAGCAAGAAATGAAGGATTATGTTTAAGCATTTTTAGAAATCCTCCCTAAAACTTAAAATATTTTATTTATTGAGGTTCATATGTATTGAACATAGAGAACAGGTAACATGTAAATGTACTATGTTAGGCATCAAAAGGATACAAGAAGGTATAAAATGTGTTTCATTTTACTCTTATAATTGGAAAGATGAAAACATGCATATAAATAACTATAAGGCAAGCAAAAGATTTTTATAAAGTTCAGTTTTTTTTAAGAATTTTTTGCTCAGCTGAAGGCAATTCCTCTGATTTGAGCCAATTATATCCTACAAGATTCATATCTATTTTTCCTGAATGAGGATATTTGTTTCTTCATAAAAACATCTCCAAAAATAGTTCGTTGGGTGAGTGGGCCTGAAATGCAGCAGCAGGCTCTCTAATACTAAGAGAACAAAGCTTCTGGTCAATGACTTGGTTAAAGCTTTGGAAAAACTGAGACTACACAGCATTAAGTGCCATCTAGTGGTAAAGCATCTCCTAACTGCATTAGGAAGCCTGAGAAACATTCCTACCTGGAATAACTGGAAAGAAAGGCTTTATGGATGAGCAAGTGTATCTTGACTGAAATATGGTTATTTCAAGAGCTAACTGGATATCAGAATCATAGGGTGTGTCGACACAACAAGGAGAGAAATGTCTAGCTAAAGCGGACAGCTTATGTATAGTGGAAGATATGCCTAGAAACTAGATGAGTCAGAATGGTAAACTCCTGGGGGTGAGGGGGAAGTTAGATCTCCATCATGCAGTCAATGAATACCAGCCATTTATCCAATAAATATTCACTGAGCAATTACTATGTGCCAAGTACTATGTTAGCTTCTGGGCACATAGTGATGAACAAAACAAACATGACTCCAACCCTCAATTTCTAACCTAGACAAATATAAAAAACATTGAAGCTGCTGAGCAGAAAAGGATTGCCGTTGAAAGACTTGGGTTTGCTGCCTAGCACAACCAGTTACGGCAAGTAGCCTAACCTGTGAGTATGTAGAAAATGACAACTGCCCTTCTTACTTCACAAGGCCTGCACTGAGGGTAATACTGTGTAATATATGCAATGGATATAAAGGCTTTCTTTCCTAAAGCATAAAGTTCTAAAAAATGTAGAGCAGAATGACGAAACAGTGTTTGAGGACAAATACTCTGATAGAGACATGCAAAATAAAATTGAAGGGAAGCAAGGAGTTTCTTAAAAAATAACTTGAGGTCATTTTATAGAATTGATTAAGCAATATAAAAATACTCAGTTTTTAGCGTACCTGATATGGCAATCTTTCCTTTACATGCTCTTCGTTTCTTACTTTCAAAATGCACTTCACTGTCAAAAGAAAGAGTCTTATGAAAAAAAAATCCTTTACAATAAACAATTGTTTTAACAGTCTTCTAGAAATGAACAAATCTTAAAAACAAACACAGTAATAATGACTTCTAGTTAATGTAAACAATTTGATTCAAACATTAAAATGTTTATTGAACAGCTAGCTGATTTTAACAGAAATACACAGTTATTCTCTCATTTTTCATATAAACTTCATATTCCTTGCTGATTGCATTTTGGCTTACTCTATAATGAAAGTCCTTTGTGATTATGTCCATTTGTAAATAAGAAGTACAATATCTGTCCAGGTTCCACAAAGTATAGTACCATTTCATAAATAACGTTGTTAGCTTACCAGATACTGTTGTTGCTGTTGTTAGGTGTCAAGTAGGCCCTGACTCATAGTGACCCTGTGTACAACAGAACAAAACACTGCCTGGTGCTGTGCCAGCCTCACAATCTTTGCTATACCTAAGTCCATTGTTATAGTCACTGTGTCAATCCACCTTGTTGAGGGGCTTCCCCTTTTTCACTGACCCTCTACTTTACCAAGCATGATATCCTTCTCCAGGGAATAGTCTCTTTTGACAACATAACCAAAGGTGAGACAAAGTTATAAGCCATTCTCGCTTCCAAGGAGCATTCAGTTGCACTTCTTTCAAGATAGATGTGTTAGTTCTTCTGACAGTCAATGGTATTTTCAGTATTTTTCATGAACATGAAAATTCAAAGGAATCAACTCTTCTTCAGTCTTCCTTGTTCACTATCCAGCTTTCACATGCATATGAGGAGATTGAAAATCACTTGGTTTAGGCGCATCACAGCCTGCAAAGTGACATCTTTGTTCTTTAACACTTTAAAGAGGTCTTTTGTGGCAGATTTGCCTGGTGCAGTACGATGTCTGTCTGGTTTCTTGATTGCTCCTTCCATGGGTGTTGACTGTGGATCCAAGTAAAAGGAAATCTCTGACAACTTCACTTTTTTATCCATTTATCATGATGTTGCTTATTACTCCAGTTGTGATGATTTTTGTTTTCTTTATGTTGAAGTGTAATCTACATTGAAGACTGTAGTTTTTGATCTTCATCAGTAAGTGCTTCAAATCATCTTCACTTTCAGCAAGCTAGCTTGTGTTATCTGCATATTACAGGTTGTTAATTAGCATTCCTCCAATCCTGATGCTGCATTCTTCTTCCTATAGTCCAGTTTCTTGGATTATTTGCTCAGCATACAGATTGAATATGTATGGTGAAAGAATACAACCCTGATGCAAACTCTTTTTAACTTTAAACCATGCAGTGTCCCCTTGTTTTGTTCAAATGACAGCCTCCTGGACTATGCACATATTCTTCCTGAGCGCAATTAAGTGTTCCTGAATTCCCATTCTTTGCAATGTTATCCATAATTTGTTAAGATCCACACAAATGCCTTCATGCAGTCAATAAAACACAGGTAAACATCTTTCTGGTATTCTTTGCTTTCAACCAAGATCCAACTGACATTAGCAATGATACCCCTCATTACACATCCTCTTCTGAACCCAGATGGAATTTCTAGAAGTTCCCTGTTAATATACCACTGCAACCATTATTGAACTTTCTTCAGCAAAATTTTACTTGCGTGTGATATTAATAATATTGTTCAGTAATTTCCACATTCTGTTGGATCACCTTTCTTTGGAATGGGCAAATATATCAATCTCTTCTAGTCAGTTGGCCAGGTAGCTGTCTTAAAAATTTCTTGGCATAAACGAGTAAGTGACTCCAGCACTGGATCTGTTTCTTCAAACATTTCAGTGGGTATTCCACCAATTCCTCAAGCCTTGTTTTTCATCAATGCTTTCCATGAACCTTGGACTTCTTCCTTCAATACCATTGGTTCTTGATCATATGCTACTTCCTGAAATAGTTGAACATCGACCAATTCTTTTGGTGTAATGACTCTATGTATTCCTTCCATCTTCTTTTTATGCTTCCTGAATCATTCAATATATTGCCCATGTTGTTGTTGTTGTTATGTGCCGTCGAGTCATACCTGACTCATAGCGACCCCTCCTTGGGTTTCCGAGGCAGTATCACTACAGAGGTAGGATTGCCCAACCTTCCTTCCGAGGAGTGGCTGGTGGGTTTGAACCGCCAGCCATCTGGTTAGCAGGCAACTGTCTTAGCCACTATGCTACCAACCCTTCAATATTGCAACTTGAGGCTTGAATTTTTTCTTCAGTTCTTTCAACTTGAGAAATGCTGAACATGTTCTTCCCTTTTGGTTTTCTAACTCCAGGTCTTTGCACATTGCATTAGACTTCACTTTGTCTACACAAACTGCCCTTTGAAATCTTCTGTTCAGCTCTTTTATCTCATCATTTCTTCTACTCACTTTAGCTACTCTCCATTCAAGAGCAACTTTCAGAATCTCTTCTGAGATTCATTTTGGTCTTTTCTTCCTTCCCTGTGTTTTTAATGATATTTTTCTTTTTTCAAGTATGATGTTCCTCACGTCATACCAAACTCATCTGGTATTTTGGTCCCTGGTGTTCAATGCATCAAATCTGTTTTTCAGACAGTCTCGAAATTCTGTTGGGATATACTCAAGGTCGTATTTTGGCTCTCGTGGGCTTGTTTCACTTTTCTTCAACTTGAATTTGAACTTGCATATGAGCAACTGATGGTCTGTTCCAGTCAGCCGCTGGCCTTGTTTTGCCTGATGATACTGAGTTTCTCCATAGGCTTTTTCTACAGATGTAGTCCATCTGATTCCTGCATGGACCACCTGGTAATTCCCACATGTATAGCTACCATTTATGTTGAAAAAAGGGTATTTGCAATGAATAAGTCATTTGTCTTACAAAATTCTATCATGCAATCTAGTGTCATTTCTATCACCAAGTTTATATTTTCTAGCTACCAATGAGTCTTCTTTGTTTCCAATTTTCACATTCCAATCATCAGCAATAATCAACACATCTTGATTGCACATTTGGTCAATTTCAGACTGCAGAAGTTGGTAAAAATCTCCAATTTCTTCATCTTTGGCTTTAGTGGTTGGTGCATAAATTTGAATAATAATATTAACTACTCTTCCTAGTTACAATATCCAGTGATGGATATTATCCTATCACTAACAGCACTGTACTTCAAATAGATCTTGAAACATTCTTTTTGACGATGAATGTGACACTATTCCTCTTCAATCTGTCATTCCCAACAAAGTAGACTATATGATTGCCTGATTTAAAATGGCCAATACCAGTCCATTTCAGCTCACTAATGCCTAAGATATCGATCTTTATGCATTCCATTTCATTTTTGACAACTTCCAATTTTCCTAGATTCATACTTTGTACATTCCATGTTCCATTTATTAATGGATGCTTGCAGCTGTTTCTTCCCATATTGAGTCATGTCTCACAACAACATGCAAGCCACTACAGTACAACAAACTGAGAGGCAAGTGATTGTATCAGATAAAGTGGCTAAGAAGTTAATGAACTTTCCAATCATATAATTTGCTGCCCAAGAGTAACTTATCCTTTTAGAATTTGACATATTATCAGAAAATTTCTCTCTGCTATATATTTGTATTTTTTATCAGATTTTTTTTTATCAGAAAATATCTTTCTGCTAAATATTATGTCAAGGATTTCATTTTACTTGGATTCACAATCAAAGCCTACAGAAGCAGCAGTCAAGAAATCAAACGACTTATTGCATTGGGCAAATATGTTGCAAAAGACTTCTTTAAACTGTTAAAGAGCAAAGATGTCACTTTGAAGACTAAGGTGCACGTGCTCAAGTATTTTCAATAGCTTCATATTCATGTGAAAGCTGGATAACAAAAAGAACGAAGAAGAATTGATGCATTTAAATGATGATGTTAGTGAAGAATATTGAATATATCATGGACTGCCAGAAGAACAAACAAATCTGTCATGGACGAAGTACAGCTGGCATGCTCATTAGAAGTGAGGATGCCAAGACTTTGCCTCTCATACTTTGGTCACATTGTCAGGAGGTGCCAGTCCCTGGAAGAGATTATCATGCTTGGTAAAGTAGAGGATCAGTGAAAAAGAAGACAGTCAACAAAACTGATTGAAAAAGTGGCTCCAACAATGGACTCAAGCATAGCAATGATTGTGAGGATGACAAAGGACCAGGTAATGTTTTGTTCTGTTGTACATGGAGTAGCTATGAGTAGGAATCAACTAGATGGTACCTAGCAACAACAACCATTTATATATTTTTTTATTACAAAGGTCCTTGGATGGTGCCAATGGTTAAGCAATGGTCTACTAGCTGAAAAGTTGGTGGTTAAAACCCACCCAGAGGTGCTTCATAAGATAGGTCTGGAGATCTGCTTCTAAAACATCACAGCTTTGAAAACTCCAGGCTTCCCATTAGTTGGAATGGACTCAATGGCAACTAACAATATATTTAAATGCAGTTAGTATTATATTTAATTTCTCAGAAATTGCAAAGAACTAAGCATATACTAAACAATAAATTAACTAATGTTGGAAAAGAATATATTACCATGAAAATAGAAAAATTTTCAAAGGACATTCAGACTTCCAGATCTGATTTTAGAGTATACTGTTACCATGAAAAAAACATGTTTCAAAATAGATCTCTTCCATAGAGACAGAAAGTAGATTAGTGGTTATGTGGGGCTGGGAGTGGGGGAGAATGGGAAGTTATTATTGTAGTGGTACTGAGTTTCTGTTTGGGTGATGAACACATGTTGGAAATAAATAGTGGCAATGGTTGCATATTGTGACTATAATTAATGGCATTGAATTATACACTTACAAATGGCTAAAATGGCAAATTTTGTTATATATATTTGTACCACAATAAAAAAAAAATATTTAAAAAAATGTCATCTCCTACTAGGTAAACTTAATCCCATCCTTAAATAGCTCCCTAATATCTCACTTCCTAATAACCTGCATTTATAGATTAGCATTCTATTTTTAAGGCAATATTTGCAAGAATATTTTTTAT